CAATGATAAAGGGCAAGTGTTCAGAACCTACTCTTATTTTTGCACTTAGTGATTAAGATCCTATGCAGATAACTTGATAATTTTGGAGCTGTGCTGGAGTATCAATGTCAATGTATATTACAACCAAAAAATATGCAAAAAATCTCTCAGACCACATCACTTGTAGAGATACACTTCATATTTAAAGCACAGATATTACAAAGGGGTTCAAAACTTTTCTTTTTTCTCTTTATAATTACTGGTGCTGAAAAGTGTTGCTTGCTTATTTACTATGTTCCCTTGGATTTTAAAGACAATGCCTTACATTCTCTTGATGAAAGCCTCTGCATGAGGACCTCTTCCTTGAGAACACAGCATGATTCAGTTCCCCTTGTGGGGCTGCCCACCCTGATACAAGCCTCTGCAATGAGACTTCAGCAAACTGAGGCACATGCGCAGAACGGAGGTGATGAGCGGAGGGAAAACAAAAGCACAACACCTGCTCACAACTGACTTTCATAATATGAAAACAAGGGGTATCACCCTCCAGTCTGTGGGAATCCTGCTTAAGAATAGGACCCTATAGCTACAGTAAGGAAGGCTCAGGACTTAGCATGTGTCCATTGCCTCGGGGGAGATGCACTTCACTCTTAGTTTCTCTCAAGTCTGGGATGCTCTTAAGCTTATAAGGTAGAGTCACAAAGTCTTGCTTAAACCATGTGGCAAGTATATGTAGTTTTGCTTGATAGAAGAAATGGATAATTTTACATGATGTGGGACTGGAGTAATCACAGAAGAAAGAAAACACAGTATTTTCTGCTGACAGCTGCTGCGTGTAAGAGGTGAACTTTAATCTTCTACTTTGCAGCCATAATGTGCAGAACTTTGAAAAGCACCCAAGTGAGCTAGGAGCTTTGAACTCTTTCTTCAGAAGAGCTCAAGTCCATTTAGAAAACAACCTACTCAGGAGTTCTGAGAATGTTTGTTCAATGTGATTTAATTCAGAAAGCTTCAGGGCAGAAAGTTAAAAATTTGTAATTCAATAGTGACCACAAATCACATAAATAAGTAGCAGTGAACTTTATTCTAACTTCAGTTAGTATACCAAAGTTAAACAAAAATTAATCAAGTCTTTTCACTAATGATAAAGACACACTAATATGCTGTTCTCAGATACTTGCCACATGTTGGCATAGACATATCTAGCAGCTTTCAGTGGTGTGAGAGTGGGCAACATGCAACATATCACCCAGTGAAAACTATACAAAATGCCCTGAGGGTTATTTACAAACATCACAGCAGCATAGTTCAGCAGTATAAGCATGATGTAAGAGCTGATCTTCCTTTCTACTACAGCTGGGAGATATCTAGCATGGATGGGGTTGGGTTCAGGTAACTGTGAGAAGAGGTAATGGCCTCAAGCTATGCCAGGGGATGTTCAGGTTAAATATTAGGAAAAAAAATTTACCAGGAGGAGTGGTAAGGCAGTGGCACAGGATGCCCAGGGAGGTGGTGGAGTCACCATCCCAGGAGGTGTTCAAGAACTGTGTGGATGTGGCATAGAAGGACATGGTTAGTGGGCATGGTGGGGATGGCTGATGGTTGGATTAGGGAATCTTAGAGCTCTTTTCCAACTTTAATGATTCTGTGATTCTATGACCACTAGAAATACTAGCTATGATTGGAATAGAAGCATCTTATAATTCACTCACCTGTGAGGGGTCAAATCTGGGTATCCAACAGTACAGCTGGAAGGAAGGGGAGGCACAGCAGGGACAAAACAACAAACAATGGTTTTAGCAGAAGCATTAAAATAGTGTCATTCTTTTAGAAAAAATACTATGCCCTAAAACACCAGATATCTAATTTCTCTTGGAAATGTCTTGCAGAAAGAACTGACGTACAAAGGAAGAGGCCAGGAGCTGTCTGGTGAGGCAAAATGGGAAACTGTGGCAGAACTTCTTTTTTAAGGTCACCAGAAAGTAAATAAAAATGAAACCTGTCATGATGCCTCTCAGTTCCATTCCTTTGCATCCCTGCACAATCTGACTCCAACTCTGTCAATGCACTGGCATCCTTGGCCAAGCCAAGGAGAAAGACCATGAGAGCTGGCATTCCAAGACCCACGCCTGGAGTGTATCTCAGTGACAAAAGAGTATTATCTGGAAATAGGATGGGTTTTATGGATTTCACATCAAGTGAAACTTCCCTTAAGTGCTCATTCCAGCCTCCCTTCAAGTGCAATTCTTTCAAGGGCATACATCCCACCTTTCATTTTTTCCCCTTTTTTGTTTCTCCTTCTTTTCTTTTTTCTTTTTTTCTTTTTTTTTTTCTTTTTTTTTTTTTTTTTTTGGACAATTGCAGGTTTGACTTCAGAGGAACACAGCTATATATGTGAGGGTGCAATACATCATGAGATAAAGTGTGGAGAACGTCCTCTACCAAAATGTCCCTTCGTGGAAAGAAAAAGCCCCAGGTGCCTACCATGAGAAATCCCTCTGCTTGTTCCAGCAACAAAGGAGCAAAAAAGCATGGGTTGCACATGTTTCAGGGTATCAGATCTGGCAGAAAGTTGAAAGGTTACATTCGTGAAATAGCAGCTGCTTTCCTGCCATTTGATTCGGGCTTCTGCATTGCAAAGTCTCGAAACTGAAAGACAAATCTGACAATATGCTAATCTTCCAATAAAAAAAGAAGTGACTTCTGAACCCTTATCTGTTGAAGAGCTGACAGTGAAGTTCAGAGACGGTTGTCTAACCAGACAAAACAATAGAGAAAATATGCCTTCAAACAAGATCATAAATCTTGAACAGTGCAGGGGAACAAATGGAAAGGGAACGTTTTGCCACTAACACCATGTAGGAGCCTCACTTTCTCTCTCTACCCTCCGCCCCTTCAGCCTCACCCCGGTTGCTAGAAAGGAGAATGCATCTCATCAGAGCAATAATGTAAATACTGGGGGGTGGAGGGGGGCAATATATCGGGTACTGAAATCTGACATTGTTTCCATCACATCCGGGGTGGGGGGGGGGGGGCAGAGAAACAAACCAAACCCTGTGCAACCTGAATACAACAGCCTGCCCCCCCAGCAGCACACACACACATACACACACACATACACACAAAAAGTTTGCATATTGCACAGGGCGCTTGAAGATCATAAATCTATGCATGAGAAAGATGTAGTGGAAATTTTTGGGGGGATTAGAGTTTATTTTTGTCATCTCTGTGAGACAGCTACTCATTCATCCAGATCACAGCTAAGAAAAAAGCTGGTCACAGAAATTAGCAGTTTCAGCTCAGCAGCAAAGTCGCCAGCCTGTGAAGGCAGAGAGAAATTGACTAATTAGCAATGCGCACTAAAACTTGACGGTTCTTTATAGAGAGAGAGAAGAGAGAGGGAGAGCGGGAGGGAGGGAGGCAGCGAGAGGGGGGGGGCTCGCTTTTTCCCCTTCTTTCTTCCAAAGATGTTTGAAATCGCAGTCATTTACGCTCGACAATTTTTACAATAGCCTTGAGCCATAATTTTGCGAGTCTCTCCAGCATCCATCCCCCTGTATGGTCTCTCTCCACTGGCCATGCACGACCGTTTCTCTCCCCAACCGTGGATTTCCTATTACTCTCGTTACGACTCACTGAGCCCCAGGCCCAAGGATAATGATGTGTTGTTTCTTGGTAGCATAATTTGTCACACGTACATTTTTTCTTCTTCTTCTCTTGCAGAAAGCTCTGCGCTCTCTCTCTCTCTCTTTCTCTCTCTCCCCTTCTCTCTCTCTCGTACATTTTCTTGCTGTTGCTAATTCATGGTGATCAAATGATGTACGACAAAATAAATTGTAAAGAGTGACTGCTCCGAGTTGGGAACCAGAAGGTTTTTTTTCTTTCTTTCTTTCTTTTCTCTCCCTCTTTTTTTTTTTTCTTTTCTTTTTTTTTTTTTTTTTTTTGAAGGAGCGAGCAAACCTTTAAAAAGGAAGGACAATTGATTTTTTGGGGGGGAGCTTAAGTGAACCTTTACTTTGGCAGCCGGTCGTGGAGCAGGTAAGTTTCTGGCCTTGTGCCTCCCCGTCTCGGCGCATTTTCTCCCGTCTCCCGATGTGTTTGTTGCCGGGGTGTGTGTGTGTGTGTGTGTGTGT